CTTGAGATATAACTTTACAATTTCAGTCATGTTTCTTGACGACACATCTTCAAAAGCCTTAAAGAAATACCTTAGCCACCACTTGGAACCAATGTATGTCTGATCTCTCCTTGTTTGTTTGTTAATGCTTCTTACTTGTTAAATTCTTTTTTAAATAGGATCAACTTAGGAGGTTAAACACAAGTTTGTTTACTAAAAAAGTTTTTTTTTTCCTTATTTTGTTAATAAAGTTGCGATGCAGATCCCAAAGTTTTGGCTGACTATGTCATTGCTCTTTTAAAGCACGACAAACCTGATCAGGATCTAAAACAGCTATGTATAGACCAACTTGACGACTTTCTAAGAGGAGGTATGTCTAAAAATTTTACTAATTCTTTGAATTTGAAACGTTGCAACTTGCTGTAACAATTTTCTCGTGTTGAGAAACTTAATTTACTATTTGGCTTTCTCGTTCTTTTTTTTTCCTTTTTAACTTTAAAAATGATTGTTAATTACTTACTAATTTACGTTTTAATTGATAGAAACCAGACCTTTTGTTGAAAAATTGTTTGATGCTTTAGGTTCACAAGAATATCTTGGCGAAAGAGTTGCATTAACTGCGATTCAATCACAACAGGAATCAACCATAAATACAGGCGCATCATCAACAAATAATTCAGTTGTTGAAGGTAAATCAACAAAATCCCAAGAGTTGACATCAGAAAAGGCTGATAGTCAACCCTCAAAGATGGGGGTCCGGAAAAGAGAAGATAGCGAAGCTTCAGATGATGACGATGATAGAAATTACAAGCACAGAGAGAGAGGCGGCGAGAATCGAGATGATTATCGTCGGTATACTGATCGATCTTCTAGCTTCGCAAGCCGAGAAGACGATAGAGACTCAAAAAATAAGAGGTTTCGTAGTGGTGAAGGTATTCCCACTGGGCCTGCTTCAGGAGGATCTCAATATAATAATAATTTTCAAGATGATCGAACTTTCAAACGGCGTCGTGATGAAACTGAAGAGGAATTTCGTTCAAATAAAATTCCTCGCAATAATTCATTAGGAACTAGTCAACCTATATCGGGAAGTGGAAACGGTTACGTTTCTAATAATGGAATGAGCGGAGGAAACGTTCGACGTTCTGAATTTGAAAGAGATAATAGGATAAACAGGAACTTTCCTTCTATATCATCCGGTTCTCCGGGTTCAAGCATAAGTTCTGGTCGGTGGGGTAACGAATGGGTTAATAATGGAATGAACGCTCCAGTCAATGATCGCTTTGATGATAGGAGAATTCGGGGTGGGAGGTTAAGTGAACGTGGAGGAGGTAGAAGTGGTCCCATGGTTGTTAATCGTGGTTCTGGATATTCTGATGTTAGGCCTGGGAGACGTCAACGGTGTCGTGATTATGATGGTGAGCAAAGTTTGACATTTACAACAAGTATTGTATTTTGTAATTCATAAGCTTATTTTTTTATTTACAATAACAGAAAAAGGTTATTGCATGCGTGGTGACCTTTGCCCCTTTGACCACGGCGTAGATAGAATTGTTGTAGATGACGTTCCATTGAATAGACCATTTGACATTATACCTCCAATGGCTGGTACTCCATTAACTGGACCAGTTGGTATAATGAGTGCTGGCGTTCCTTCGAGGCCACCGTACTTTATGAGTACTGCGGGTGTTCGAAATCAATATGATCTTGATCCAGGATATTGTAAATATAAAAATTAAAATTTTTTTTTTTATATTTTATCAATTATTTATTTATTATTCTTATTTTTTATTTAGCCGGTCAAACCTCAAGATCAATGACACCAACAGCAGATGCTTACGATCCGGAACGTGCTACGTTATCGCGTCCAGAAGAATTGATTTCTGTGATTGAACCAAAGGAGAATGACGCATCACAAACGTCTCCTGAAGCCGCTGTAACCGAATCAACTCTATCGTTATCATCAGCACAAAACGTTCCACAATTCTTAGATTCAAGTGTCAGCATTTCTACTTCTAGAGGTACTACATTTAGAGGGCGAGGTCGTTCTCGTGGAAATCGTGGAGGGTTTAATGCTAATAATAGATATGGTACTAGTGCAAATAAAAATGCGACATTGGTGGTTGAGAATATACCGAAAGAATTCTGTACGCTTGATAAAGTGAATGAATTCTTTAAAAAGTTTGGTACTATTACCAACATCAACATTGATATTAACTATAACAAAGCCATCATTCAATTCAGTAATAGTTCAGAAGCATATAAAGCTTATAATTCTCCGGAGCCAATTTTTGATTATCGATTTGTTAAAGTATATTGGTATAAGGAGAAAGAAGAGCCACAAACTTCAACTTCCACAATACCAAAACCAGTTTCTCCTGTAAAACCAGATCATACCATTGCTCAACCAGAAATTTCACCTCCAGCTAATGCAGCTGAAAAGAAAGAGGCTGAAGAAAAGGCTAAAAAACAAAAGGAAAGCCTTAAGGCAATGCTTGAGATTCAAAAACAAAGAGAGCAATTGATCAATAGACAGATTGAAGAACAAAAGAAATTGATGGAACTTGCTAAAAAGAAAAATGTAAACTCCAAAAATCGGGAAGAAGTTCTTAAAAGTTTGAGCAAAGTTTCTGAAGATATTAAGAAAGATTCGAATGTACCTGTTCGAAAACCTTCTTTGAGCGGAGCTATTCATCCAAAAAGTTTATTGGAAGAAAAAGAAAGGGAACAGTTAGATAGAGAACTCGATATTCTAAGCAAAATAAACGAGAATAGTGCTGCGAATGAACCTTCAACTTCAGCAGCGTCATCTGTCGCTAACGCACAATCCAGTACTGATACTAATCTTGAGGTAAAAATATTTATTTATTTGTTTATTCTAATTAATAAATTAAGTATTAATAATTAGATAATTTTGTAATCTTAGACGAACACATCAGCTGCTAGCTTAATTAGTTTTACCGATTCTTCTATTTATCGTGGACGTGGACGAGCTGTTTTTTATCGCGGTAGAGCTCGTGGACTTTGGCCTCGAGCCCGTGGTGGAAGTGTTATGCGTTCCTATAAACTTGATAATAGAACAACGAAACTTTTACTAAAAGAGGTCCCGGCAGAGTCTACTGACAATCTTCGAAATTATTTCCAAGTAAATTGACTCTTTGAAATAAAAATAATTTGAATTTAACAATTTAATCATGATTAATTGATCCAACTTATTTATTAGCAATTCGGGGAAGTTGAAACCTTTACAGTTGCTGAAGAAGCACGAACAGCAATGGTACAATTCAAACATAGAAAAGATGCCGAACAGGTAATTGATTTAAATAGATATTTTTACATATTTCTTTGTATTAGTATTAAACGTTTATTACGTTGACTATTTAAGGCACTTGTGAAAGGTTCCAATATTCCTGACGTTGGTCAAGTACAAATGACGTGGCATACAGAAACAAGTTCTGCTACTCGTCCTTCGGAGGTGACGACGACAATGACAACGGGCTCTAATACTGTCGATAATATTGCAGAAGTAGTTAGTGATATAACAGAATCTCAAACAGTCGATACTGAATCTGCATCAGCGTCGCATAATGTTACAGCAGATTTTCAAGCAGAAGATGATGAAGATGAAGAACGAGAGCGTTCTTGGAAACGATAATAATTGTATACATAATATACTGTTAAAATTTGTTTTAGAAATATAAAAATAACGTGCGTAATCTTTATACTATGATTATTCAAATCTTCATTTCATAAAAAAGAATCTAGAGTCAGTTCAAGATATGTATCTGTTGCTTTTTTTATATCTTACAGTACAATAACCTTTTTATTTTTTTTCCTTTGATTTGTATATACCTGTGAATTTTTGTAATTTGAAAATAAAATATAGCAGTTATTATTGCAAAAAATGCTCTAAAAAAAGTATTTATCGATTAGTAAATTATTTTTGATGCAATTAATTGATCTTTAATTACTACTTACACTTAATATATACCTCTATTATTAGTGTAAAATTTACAAGACTTGTGAATACTGCGGCATTTTTATCATACCTGGTAAGTATTTATAAAACTTAAAAAGTGATATACAATCGTAGTTATGAATAAAAATTATCTCCATGGAAAACATTTTTAGTAATATTCTAGTTCGTGCGACGACACGGATAGTAATAATAGTAATTATTGAAAATTATCACGAGAAGTGCTAAATCGGATTTATAAAACAACATGGATCTTGCATTATGAATTTATTAGTGAATTAAAAGATTCAGTACGACCAATCGGCTTTCGCATTTTATTTTATTTATAGTGCCGCCAAGTAAAGAAGCAAAGATTATTATTAAAAAATTATTTAGAATAATTTATTAACTTTGTCAATCGTTTAAATTTAATAATATTTCATATTGGATTTTTTCAAGGGAAAGTTTGTCAAGCTGGGTAACCAAGTGTCGACTAACGGAGGGGTCGTGCAGTCTGAGGAGAGGAGTTCTAATGATAGCTACTATAATGTTGCTAGTAACGAGAGACCAAAACTTGAAGGAAAGAAATCTGATGCCTCTTATTACAATCAAAATAATAGTTCGACGTCAAGTTTACACAGAAAGAAAAAAGGATTTGGTAATAAAATAATTGAAATAAGTAAGCCTACCGAGTTTGAACATGGAATTCATGTAGAGTATAACACTGAAAGTGGTAAATTTTTGGTAAGTTCGTGGAAATTTTGAA